TCTCTCTCTCTCACTCACTCACTCACTCACTCACTCACTCACTCACACACACACACACACACACACACTTTGGAAGGTTCCTTTTTTCATGGTTTCATGAAAGTCAGTTTCTCACACACACAACCTCTCTCACTCCCTCCTGAAATTTTCAGCAATCATTTGCATCAGTTTAGTATGTCCCTGTTTCCTCTCATTACTTTTAAACAAGCTGATGAATCCACCCATCCCTCTCTCACACCTTCCTTCCCGCATTAATTGCAGCTTTCCCTCCTACTTGCAGTCACCTCCGGCGGAAGTAGTAATCCCACATTAATTTCAGCTTTCCCTCCTACTTACAGTCACCTCCTGCGGAAGTAGTAATTCACAAGCCGGATTGACTGCCCTGGGCTGTTCTACAGCAGTAAACAATAAAGCAGTCTTATCTCTGATCTCTAAAAGAAGTGATTTACAAGTGCCAGTGCCGCAACCAAGGACGGTAACAGGGATTGGTGGCTTACAATCATGCAGTTTAAGGTTTGGCTGCAGGGGGTAGGGGTGGGGGGCAGCGCTCCATTTGCGTGCCCAGGGAGAGGTGTCCATGTGCCAGCTGTGGCACATGTGCCATAGGTTTGCCATCACTGCTCCAGGGACACTCATGTTTGCACAACTGTATGTCACATGATACTTTTCAGAAAATGTTAATCATTCAGTTCCTACCATATTTTGTCCAAAAAACCCCAAGCAAAACTGAAAGAAAACAACTCCAGCAAAAACACTACATACAGATACACACACACACACATACACAAACTGAATTGCAATGAAAAGACTAATTTGCCCTTTAGCAAAAGTAGGTGTTACACTGTGGTGTTTCTTTTTAATCAAAGTAGAGCAAGACAGGGAAAAATTAATGTCAACAACATAATTTACAAAAATAGCCCTCCTGCTCTGTTGCTCACAAATATTTTCAAAAAACAGCACTCTGCATGCCAACGCTTTGGCTTGATGTGGTTTACTTTTATGTCATTAACACTCCGTGCCGTAAGCATAACTCAGAACTAGGGATTCCAACTCAAAATGAGCCGCAGCTAAGATTCCAGCTCTCAGTTGTGCTGGCATGAAGATTATTCTCTTCAGTGATAAAGAAGACAATATCCTAGGGAGACTGGAATTAGTCCTACTCTGCACCATGCAAGCCAAAACACAAGGCTTATCAAGAAGCAAGTAATTGCTAGCTAGCTAATGGCTGTGGGAGATATACTGCACATTTAGGCTAAGTGTATCCTGGTAAATAACTAACACTTTTTTTAAGATGCAATTTTTTAAATAAATGATTTTTTAAAGAACTGGAAAGAGGGAGAGAGATGTAGGGGAGAAAGAAAAAGAATGAATTACCTCTTCAGATTGTGATGGGCTAATTCGGGGCATTGGTGATACCTGTGGTGTTTTCAGATGCGTGCTATTGCTGTCTGGAAGGAGTTCTCTATGGACTGATTGGATGTGGTTCTGAAGTTCACTTTCTGATTCAAATTTAACATTGCAACTTGAACAGCGAGTCTTCAACCCTCCTGCTTTATTTTTGCTCTCAGTGGAACTCAAGTTCTCATTCTGGCCCATGCCTTGTCTGTTACTGCTCGAAGGGATGTTGACACTTGGACTCCCACTTTTGCTGAGATTAACACAGGCAGCACACAGACCATATGGTAGGCCATTGATGTCAAGTTTCACCAAATCCTGCTTTGAACGGAATTCCTTCAGGCAAGATGCACATTTGTACAGTTTCTGAAGATGCTGCACTCGCCCTGTTGCCTGCATTGTGGAACTGTTGCCCGTCTTCTGCATGTGGAATGTCCCATGAATCTTCAACTCCAAAGTCGAAGTCACTGTTTGCATGCACACGACACAGCGGAATCCTGTTAAGGAATTTCGTAAATCAGGGTGCATCTGACAATGCTCCAAGAATTCTTCCTCACTCTGGAGTGGCATTTTGCAAATCCTGCAGTTCCCAGTGTCTAGGCTCTTGCTATGTGTGACCTTATGTTCAGTGAGAGTAAGAAGAGAAGGAAATCTCTCACCACATATTGGACACATATAGTGTTTCACTGGACCCAAATGGGTTTGCATGTGTTCACGGAGTCCATTTTCAGAGAAGAACGTCCGAGAGCACACATTACACTTGTAGTTCCCTTTAATGAGCTCTGCTTTCTTCTTGACTATAGCACTTTCTCCAGGTCGGATGTTGTGATCTCTAAGCTGGTGATTCTGCAAAAGTGACTCCATTGTATAGGCTGCTCCACAAATGTCACATCCGTACATAGGCTCAGAGGTATCCACATCTTCTTCACTACCATCATGGCTGTTGTGTGATTCCTGGCTGTTGGTCAGCAAGGTCTGCAGCTCTACTTCTTCTTTCTGAACCGGCTCAGGTGCTCCATTGGTTCCACAGTTGGGAGTTTTTGTTTCAAAAACACAATGTTTTTCCCTCAGGTGCTTTTCCAACAATATGATAGCATGGAAGGCTTTGCTGCAAAACTTGCAGTTGTATTTTTTGCTGTGGGTGGTAATGTGGCACTGAAGCTCCACCTCAGTACCAAACGACTCACCACAAAAAATACATTTGTGAACTTTTCCTTGGTTTTCCAGATGATTGTGTTTAACATGGAGCTGCAGATCTGTCTCATTGCGGAAATCCCAGTTACAAGAGGTGCACCTGTATACCTTCTTTTCATTGCTGTGCTTCACAGCCAGGTGCAGCTGAATGGAGACTTTAGAATCAAATACCTCTTGGCACAAAGTGCAACGGAAAAATACAAAAGTATGCATATCAAGTAAGTGTTTCTGCAAATCGTCCACTGAAGTAAACTGTTTATCACAACTTTCACAGATGTAGTAAGTGGAGGTTATCATGAAATGGATGGTCACATGCTTCAACAGGGATTCTTGGTTTGGAAACTCCTTGTTGCACTGAGGACAGGTCAGTTTCGGAAGGACAGTGTCCAGATGTGTTTTTAAGTGAGTCTGAAAACCATCCAGTGAAGTGTATTTAGCACCGCATTGATTGCAAATATATTCTCCAGCAGGGCGTGGAGGGGCACCACCGACAGCCTGCATCATCTTTAATGAACTCTGCTCGAGAGTCACAGGAGATAAAGGACTCATGGCTCTTGATTTCTTTCCATTATGAATGTAGTTTAGCGCTAATGGAATGTTCTTATGATTCTCCTTTATATGCTTATTCAGTTTAAGAACACTATTAAATATTGGAGAATTCGTACAATAAGAACAAGAATATACTTCCACAACTGGATCCTTAGGGGTGCCTAGCACAGGGGAACCGAAACGGGAACTGCTGAGATCACAATGGACTTGTCTAATATGCTCTTCCAAGGAAGAATCAGTAAGAAACCCCATGTAGCAATGAGGACAAAAGAATGCATTACTGTCCTTAGCAGCTGGATTTGCAAATCCATGAGTACATCGAATATGTTCCTGAAGGGTGTTGAGGTCATTGAAAACTTCTGAACAGAAATTACACTGGTATATCATAGTAGGCATGGTAGAAACAATCAGTGCAGGATCGGGGGCTTCATGTATTTGCTTAAGATGCTCATTCAGATTGTAAAGCGAAGGTAACACTTCTAGACAATACTGACAAATATGGGCTTGTTCAGGTTTATCTAAATGCATAGTTTTCAGGTGTATCTGTAGTACTGCAAGGCTTGAAAATAACTGCTTGTTGCAATAAATGCAGCTGTAGGTAACCTTGGCTTGCTTGCTTGAAGGCCCAGTTATATCTGCTACTTGCTGGGCTGCTCGTTTTCTTCCACGGCCTTTTGTTATCGGGGGAGCTGTTTCTACCATAGTTGAACTGTCCACTGAGAGGTTTGAATCAGGTGTAGTGCTAGATACTGAGGTATAGCCAACAGTTACTAAAGAGGGGCTGTTGCTATGGTTGCACGATTCGGGCTGCTGGTGACTATCCATGTGACTGTACAGTTCTTCGACAGTATGAAAGTTCTCTGAACAAATACTGCACATATTTTTCTTTTCTGCTCCATTATGAGCCTGCTCCATGTGGTTTACAAGTGAATTTTCCTCTACAAAGAGTTCATGGCAGTAAACACACTGAAGAGCAGCCCTGTCTTCATTTGGGGAACACTCAGGGTGGCATTCTGCTATGTGCTTCTGAAGATCTTCAGGAAAATCAAAGCCTTCTTCGCACTGACTACACTTCTGAGTGTCCTTCATTTTCCAATCCTCCATCCGGGAAGCAGACTGAGAACCATCTTTGTTCCTCTCATGGACTTGCATGTGTCCATGGAGTGAACTAGAGGAGAGGAATCCACGCCGACAAATGGCACACTTATATGGCTTGTTAGAGGTATGAGTCTTTAAGTGAATTTTAAGATGATCGCTTCTTGAGAAAGCTGCATCACACTCACTGCAGTGGTACTTCTTGTCTCCTGTGTGAAGTTTGATGTGGCGATCCCGGCTCCTCTTGTGTTTGAAGAGACGGCTGCAGTATGTGCATTTGAAGGGGAGCTTGTCGCTGTGGCTTTGTTCGTGGTGCTTTAAATAGCTGAGGCGGCTAAACGACTTGTCACAAAACTGGCATGGATAGGGCAATCCTGGGCCACCTTCTTCTTCACCAAAATCACAACCGTCTCCGTGGCTTGGGGAAGTCTGGTCTTTGCTGGAAGGTGAAGAAGCTGGCCATGAGCAAGAAGGATCATCCTCAATGTCTACTCCATCTGCAGTTGGGGAAGAGAGGAAATAAGTGTTTAAGGGTCTCCTGTTCAGATTGTCTTTGACATACATGTGTGTATGTGTGTATACTAGCAGAAAACAAACACATTGGCTTGGATGAGCTCTTTGTAGATCCACATCTGTCCTCTTTTATGTAAGGCTGTTTTAAATCAATTTGTAGAACCAGAAAAAACTGTTCCTGCACGACTTTTTTTAAAATCAATTTTAGTTGGCCTGTCTGTATTATACATTGACAACTTAATGAAAATTCAGGTTTTAATATATTTAATGTTTCTTTTGTATCTGCTGTAAAATGATCTGCATATTATGGAAAATCTAAAAAACTCAACTGGAAAAAAATATTTTTAAACTATTTTAGAATTAAATCACATGGATGCCTAGATGTTAAACTTCAAAGGTAATTAAACACAATATCTCCTTTTTTTTAAATTAACACTCATTCTGAAAACAACATGCCTTGTGGATTATTACAATTCTAATACTATACAAGGAAGAAGAATCCAAAGAGAATAGAAGGTATAACAGAAACAACGGCTTTAGCAGTAGAAAGCAAGAATAGCACCATCAATCATTGTATACCAGTTTTGAAATAAAGTGGTGACTGAAGGTAGAATCCAGTTAAGGCGGTGTGGAGAACTATGCCCCACAATTGTTGCACTCCAAGCTGTGTATCATCCTGTTGCAAGCAATGGGGATTTCACATGTGCAAAAGATACTGAACACTCCTTTGCACAACTGTCAAGACAGAAGGAGTGCATGCACAATGGGTCATGGGACACACAATAAAAACAAAGAAAATTCTGTCCGATATACATTTGAGGGACTGGCTACTTGGGCACACAGTGCTATATTGTTATGCAAATAAAAGGAAAAGGAACATTTAAAAAGCCCCAACAGCCAAGAAAAACTATTTATAAAAAACCCTAACAGCCGATGCTTCTAGGATTTATGAAATGTTGAGGGCAATTAAACCGCATTAATATGCAAGTTCCTGGAAGCACATGTTAGAGCGTGCCAAACTCTCTTTCTCCCACTGTATGAGAAAGTTCAAGATAGGAGGAAAGGGGCAGGAAGGGGCCCTCCCCCTGCTTTATAGAGCCATCTCCTAAACTGAGGTTTTGGTATCACACAATGCAGTGGGAGATTTCAGGAAGGACACAGAGGAACACGCACACCCTGACCAGTTTCCTCAAACCTCTCCCTTCTGTAAGCCCTGGACAACATTTCCATATTCCCCAGCAACCCAGTGCTGACTGCTTCCCAGAACAGGAGTGTTCGTGGTTGAGGCTAGAATATACGGTGGTGTGTTATTGAGGGCCTATACTTGTACTCAGGTAACTTAACAGCTAGTAACCAGTAATCAAGGATTAATATACACCTAATAATAAAAGAGTAGGCATTAGATTTATTGAGTCAGATATGATTAACCAAAGAGCATGAACGTCACAAAAGCTAGATACACGCAGCATATTTTGTTCTTTTAGAGTTCAAGAGGTTGCCCACCATGTCTTCCTCTTTGCTAAAAATCTTACTGGCTGGACTTCCTTAGTAAAACAGAGGCTGAACATTTAGGTGATCACAGACAAAGCAACTTGTTAAAAAACAAAACAAAACTGGAAACAGGAACAAATGACAACTTATTATGGTAAAAGCTGAAGGATTTATGAATAACAATGAAAAGACAAACAAGAACACAAGCCAAATAGTAATCCAAACTGCTTAGCCATTGCATTACTTCATTTCTGGGATTTAGGCTACGTGGCCTATCCTACACAAAATATGTAGTTTTCCTTTTAGACAGAAATCTTCTCCTGTGCGAGAGAAAACACCTTGAAATTATTAACAGAATTCTGTCCTTCAGCAGGGGAAAGATTCGTTGGTCGAACAAGCATCTCCTTGACAACCCAAGTCAAGTTGTTGTGATCAGGATTAAGGTAGGAGCACCCCCCCCCAAGAACTGTTCATTTTTTCTCTCCAGATAGGCATGGAAGCCCAGCATGATAATATGCAGCTTTTGTTAAGGGAACAATGATTCTATGGATTCTGTGAAAACACGGCTGCCCCTGTTTTGCCCACCATCGCTCCTGGGACACTGATGGGTAGGACCGTCATCTATGCTGTCAATTTTCCATGGGTATATTGTGGATCTCTGCTGTGGCAAGTATTGTTCTGCTGGCAGACCTGCACTTCAGCTACTCCCTATGAGTCCTCCTCCAGGAAAAGATATGATCACCCAGTTGCTGAGAGTTATTAAAAAAATAATTGCATTCTGATACATCTAAATGACCGATATTAAGTTTACACAAACTTAAGTACAGTACTTTGTTTAGGAGAGAATGGATTCTTAAGATAGTTAGAAGTTTTCAAAGAAGTAGTCACCCATTTCAATATAACAGAATTTTGTGGCACATTTATTTATCACATGTTTATTTTAGCATTAATGGTTGTGGATCACAATCCATGTTCTCCATTATGTGAAATACCATGTTCAGCATCAGGGAAAGTATAGAACCAAATCTACACATTTGGAATGAAATGGGATATAGAAAACGACAAAGGTATTATTCCCATTGGTAACAGACTTTTAGAGGGCCTAGTCTTTCAGAAAGCTTTCTTCTACAAATCCATTGAGTTGGACTGAAGCTATATAATTCATTTCAATGAGGTTTCTGGAAGAAAATGTTTAAAAAATCATTTCTCTTTTTGTATAGAAATGCTTCTATGGAAAAATAAAACACCTGACAGCTAAAGTAAAATAAAACAGTTTAGTCTATTTGATAAGTAGTATTGTCATAACTTTTCTTTCAGCACAAAGTCAGTTAGAATAAAGACATTAATGTTTGTGGGGAGAGAGACTGAATAAGCCCTTTGGGAAACCACTTATTGAATATATTCTACAAAAAAATATAAAATTCCCTAAAACCTACAAGCTCTAAAAAGCCAGTTATCGTGCAACACAATAGTCAGAAATGCCTCTAACAGAAACATTCCAAGTCTGCCTTTTTTTTAAAGGAGCAAAATTTTACTACATTATTAACCTTTTGCTTATCCACAGGAAACAGATAGGATTTGTCCCTTTCCTGCATCTCACAACTGATAACGACACCATCTCACTATCAATGGCAGACAGAAGCCATCTAAGTCTCAGAAAACAACCATCTCTGTTCCTGGAATCATGCCCATTGCAACAATGCATTTGAGTGCCAGTTAAACACCAGACAAGTTTATGTCTCTTACTGTATGTATTATTCTGAGAGCAAAGCGTCATATAATTACAGTATGTCTTATTCCTATCAGGAGCCTTAAGCTGTTCCACTAAAACTACACACACACAAACATCTCATTTTGATGGAGCCTAGAACACACAAAATGTCACTAGAGATGTATCTTCCTTACCCTAAAGAACTCAGGTATAACCTTAACTTTCAGGCATTCTGTCTTCTAGAGAAGTATTGTTAAACTAATTGAAATGTGTTCACGAAGGTTAATCTTTTGCCTACATTCTCCTTCGTAAAACCAATTGGAAATAATGAGGAGTTTCTCTTTTACAACTCCCATTCTTTCAATGATGATTCCATTAAAAAGCTCAGGTAGACTGAATTCTAAATACTTACCAATGCATTCCAGTATAAACAAAGCCTATTAATTGCCCCCCCCAAAGTCCAGTGTTTATACATTTATTTACAGTACCACCGTCACAGTTCTTTGCAAAACATACAACAGCAGATCCTTATGTTAAGGAGCTTACAATCCAAAATTCAAGACTGAGCAAACAACAAGGACACAGTTTTGGAAGAGGTAGCCATGTTACTCAGCGCAAGCATATCAGGCAAAACCCAACAAACAAAAACAGAGAAAGGTGGATTGTACTTGTAGATTGAAATGGCTGGAGACAGATCTCTGTAGAAGATTTGAAAGTCATTATTTTATAACAGAATCATTACAAATCAAGAATACATAGGGAAATAGCGGAGATAAAATTTATAAGCAAGGTGGGTACCCATATAAACAGAATGAATATAAGCCTAGGTTTCTTAAGTCATTACCAGATATACTGTATTTTTCTGTGTATAAAACAACAATTTTTCCTAAAATAATTAGGGGGGGGAAATTGGGGGGTCGTTTTATACATGGAAGGAGGCAGAAGCAAATAAGCACTTGTGCATGATTGGACACCTCTTGCTGCCGCCACTGCCCACTGCCTCCTCCAGTGTGACTGGCGGGGCTCACCTCCAGTTCACATCACTGCCTTGTCCCCTCTGGTGGCGGCGGCAGTAGCAAGAGGCAGAGATGGAAGCAAAGGAGCAGTCATGCGCACTTGGGCACGTCTTGCTACTGCCGCTGCCGCCCACTGCCTCCTCCAGTGCGACTGGCGGGGCTCACCTCGCTGCCTTGTCCCCTCCGGTGGCGGAGGCAGCAGCAGCAGGAGGGGGAGGCAAAGCAGCACTCACGTGCACTCGAGCACGTCTTACTGCTGCCCATTGACTGCTGCTGCCACATCGCTTCCACCAGCGCTCCCTTCAGGCAGGGGACAAGATAGCGATGATGTAAGCTGGAGGTGAGCCCCGGCAGTCACGACGGATAAGGTGATCGGGCGGGGGATGCAGCAGGAGATGGAGGTGGAGTTGCCCATTAACTGCTCCTCCGCCTCCGGCAAGCATTAAAATTAGGGGGTCGTCTTCTACATTGGGGTCATATACAAGGAAAAATACGGTAATACTCATGCTATTATCTATTGTTATTTTCTTCACAACTACTAGGCCCATCTCTGATCACAAGGCTCAAAGGTAAAAACTGTCAGCATTCTCTACATTAACACATGTAGTTCCTCTACTATCTTATTTTTATATATACTTCTTCTCCCCCACTTCCTCCCCTTGAGTTTTTAACTTGTATCCTGACTCTTGTCAGTCTTCACCAAAACCCCACCACCACTTCCCCCCCTCCTTTTTGCTCTGGCTTGGTATCTCTTTTCTGTCTCCCG